AACAGCAGGGAGCTGCGTTCTCCTGCCAACAGTAAACGGAAAATGCCCAGGAGAGGGTAGCGGCCAGAGGCCAGAGCTGTCTCAAAGGAGCCGCCTGGGATCAGGGGCAGCCCTTCTCCTCCTCTCTGGCCAGTCCCGGGGGTAGGAGTCAGGAGGGAGACAGGGGTGTCCTCCTAGGGCTGATTGATGGCTTCCAGTACCTACCATCACCCCAGCTCACCCTGTCTTCCCAGGAAACAGGAGCCTGCTCCATCCCACCTAAGTGGCAGGTGCAGTCCTTTCCTAACCTCTCCACCCCCATGTGACTTTGATAGTCATTTGAACCTGATATCATCTGGATAAATACGTGCAGGAGGAGTGGAGGAGGAGGCAGATGTGGGCAGACTGGGAAGACCCTGAGCCTCTGCGCCCTCCGGGGAGAGGGGTGCAGCGTAGTAGCTGACAGAGCCTGGCTGTGTCCCAGGCAGAGCTGGGTTCAAAGCCCCACTCAGTCACTTATTCTGCTGAGCTGCAGGTTCATCTTCTACAGAATGGGAGTAAAGGCCTCCAGCTTATGTAGTTGTGGCCATGATTAAGTGACATGCACAGGGAGTGACTGGCACTCGGAAGGCACTGGTTACAGGCTGCTCCCCTTCCCTCTGCACTTCCAGGGGTGGGCCCGGTGTGGGGATGGCAAGCGTGCCACTGCTCTATTGTGGCAGAGCTGAAAAAGAGCACTGCATATCCAGCTCCAATCACCTTGCGTGGGATAGAAGTGATAAGCAAATGAAATAGAATAAACTCGAACACAGAAAGCCAGGAAGCGTTTTCTGATTTCCATGCTTCCTCAAAGGAGCTACTAAAATACTGAAAAAAAGAAAAAAAGTCATTCTTGCAGTGTGCATAATCCGACGGTGAGGGGAGGCTGTCAGTACCAGGTCTGGAGGCATTCTTCTTGGATTCTGAGCAGCTTGGATGGGTGGTAGATAAGGCTCCACATTGAGCCAAGCCCGGGAACCTCCTAAGACTCATCCCCAACCCTGTGCTGTAGAAACTCAAAATCACGCTTTATGTCTATTCACCCGAGCTCTCTCCCAAGCTTCCCAAATCCCCCCACTAAGCCTTCTGAAATCAGCAGAACCATCTGCTTTGGGCATGAAAATGAGACATTACCAAAAGTTGCCACCCAAAGGTCATTTTTTCTGGAGGACAAAGCAGGGGCTGGGGGGGGGGGAACAAAGCTTGTAGTAAAAGCTTTCGGAGCCACCGCAGAAGCGACTACATTCCCTAGCTGGCGGACGGCCTCTCCCTTCCATCTCCCTGTGACTGCAAATGCAGCTTCCTGGCCGCTGTGACATGCACATTACACAGCACCAGCCGCCTAATACCGGATTCCTCTCCCACGGCCACAGCCCAGCCGCTTACCCTGGAGTTGGGATCATCTGAGGGTTCTGAGCTCATTAGAGCTCTGTCTTCACAGCCAATGCAAAGTGAAGAATCGTGGTAATTATCTAAATGATCCCAGGAGGGGGAGAGAAACCACTTTGTGTTGAAAACGACAGCTTTGGAGGACAGGTCCAAGCATCTCCACCTTGTCAGCTGTCCAGAGAGGTAATAATAGGTATGATGACGTCCCCTCCCCCAACAGTAAAACTTATTACCGAGTGGCTCCCTGGGGGAAGATGCCAAGTGTCCAGCCTCTCCAGAACAAGGCCAACCCAGAGCCTCCCCCCCCCCAGCAAGCAGAGGACACACCCGTCGCTCAGACCTGGAAATGTCACATGGGAGACACTCCTGGGACTTCAGGCAGCAGTTAAACACTGCCATTTAGAGTTCTCTAATCCAGCTGAGCAGAAATTTCCAGATTTAAATTGTGCTCGCCCAGGCATTATGAATGGTCTCAGGCAGTCTTGAGTTTGCTCCAGCTCCCTTTGCAGGCAGGCAAGTCCTTATTTGACTCCACAGGGTACACCCTCACAATCTCAGGACTAAACATGGCTGCGCTGCCATTGGGTGTCTACAGAAAAAAAGGCCCCGTTGGAGTCCCCGTCCCCCAAATTAACGGGTCATAATAACAACGCAGTCAAGTGTACTTGACAAGGACCAAAAGGACATTTCGTGTCCTTGAAAAACTCTGGACTTGAAGTCATTGGGATCTGAGCTGGGATCTTCCAGGGGTGAGGCCTTGAGGAAGTTACTCACCTTCTCTGTGCTTGGAGTTTCCAGGTGTTGTAAGGGGGATAATAGTGAGAATTAATAGAAAATGTAACATCCATCCCCTAGACAGCGTCTGGCTCACTGTCTCTATAGAAGGTACAAAAGGGAACATTTCCTACTCATTTCACAATGGCTGCTAAGTGTGTGCCGTGTGCAAGACTACTTTATTGAACCCTCAGAACAACTCTACAAGGGAGTCTGGAGAGGTGTCTCTCTCCCAGGTGGTTCTGGCTTGCCCAAGAACCCTGCTAGTTAGTCGTGGAGCCAGCAGGACATGGCAACCATCTTGGCTCCTAGTCCAGTGCTCTCTCCTCTGAGAATGGAGGGGTGGGAGCTGGTCACACAGGACTCGGATGAATGAAGATTTCTGTCTGTCTCCATGTGAGGATCTCTCTCCATTAATGTGAGGACCCATTGCTTGGAGGTGTCATCTCCAAGTGACCCAGGAGGTAGCTTAGGATGTCAGTTTTCACACCACACTTCATGACACCCTAGATCCACAGAGGTGCTTTGGGGGCTGCAAGGGGTGGTGTGGATGGGGTACTCCGGGTCCCCCAGGCAACCAGAGTAATGCCAGCTCTTACCTACAAGGCTAACTGGTGAGAGACCTGGTCTCTTTATGTTGGACTTCTGTTTAAGATTTAATATGAAGCAAAGATTTGTTCCTTGAAGGAGGAAGGGGAGGAGGAGAAGGCTGAGAAGGGAGAGATGAAAAGAAAAGAAAGAAAAAGAAAACAACAAAGCAAAGCTTGAGCTCCACCTTTCTGGGAACAGAACCCAGAATTTATACTTGTGGATGTTAGGGATAGAGGTGGGCAGCCCTGTTCTGAGCCACAGCCAGGCCTCTCACACCTGCTGCACGCCTTCAGGCACACATCTGGGCACCTGCTGTGTGCAGAACCCCAGATCAGGTAGCAGGTGGGTGGAAATTACATAGAGGTGATGATTCTTGTCCTTTGAGACTTTGAAGAGGCAGAACATCATCTTAAAGGCAGGAGAAGGGGGCCAACAAATGCTAATTAATGCAACCAGTCTGGTCCTTGGGCTATACTGTCTTGGAATTTTCTCCGTTTTATTTATATGCTCTATTTCCCCCAACCAGGCTATAATTTTCCAGAGGGCAAGGAACACTTCTCATTCAGCAAATATTTCTTAAGCGCTTCTCATATATGTCACATACAGGAAAGGTTCACAGTCTCGTGGGTGAGCAAGTAATTCTAGCATGGGGTCACTGATTTTTTTCTGCGTAGTAGGGGCCAGGGAAGGTGACACAGAGGAGATGAAATTTAAGATGCATCTTGCAAGAATAGCAGCTCTCCATAGTCCTCTTTCACTTGCCTGTGGGGTCCAGTTCCGCACTCCACAGGAAACCAGTCAGGGATGCCAACAACATGAGGTTAGGAAGGAGAAAGTAAAGGCAGCTACCCATCCAGGTGCTGGCCTCTGAGGGCCTCCTGGAGGGAAGTTTGGAGCTGGTTTTCCGTGGAGAAGGAGCCTGAGTTGGCTCTGCGGGGCAGGGAGTGTGTCCAGCTTGAGATCATGCCAGCAGCAAAGGCAATTAAGTGAAGCCAGCAGAGCTTGAGTCTGAAGCTGGGGATGAAGGGGAGGCAGTGAGGGAAAGCCAGTTAAGCTCGAGTAGAGCAAAAGGCAAAAAGAAATAAAGGTATTGAAAAGGGAGCTGGAAGAAAGAGGGAAACAGCTCGGGGGCTGGTATGTTTGAATCTAGTAGAAGCAGGTTGTTCCTGGCCTCACAGTAATATGCCATCAAAAATGTAATAATGGGGAGGGGGCACCCCCCTTCAACCACAGCCTCACCCCCCCCTATAAAACAGGATCCTATTTCCTTCTCAAAAGACCTCCCTTCTGCCTCAACCTCCCAAAGTGTGAGTGCTCCCGGACCCCGCCCGCAGGTCCGGAGGAGCTGCGGGAGCCAGCAGCCACCAGGGTGCGGGAGGAGAGTGACCCTGGCCTGTTTGGCCTGCAGTGTCTCCCAGCTGTGACTCACATCTGGGGCTTCTGGAAATCTGACCTGAACACTCCTATACGTTCATCGCCAGGAAAAAGCACGGATATATATGTGCGTGGGAGAAAGAAGGGACACACACACACACACACACACACACACACACATTCCACATCACACATTAAAGAGTCCCCAGGGCCGTCTAAGGGGAGGCTGCGCGCCCTGGGTTGGGTATGAGAGGTGGCTGGAAACGCGGTTCCTCTTCAGTCCTCCTGGGGAACCCGTGCCGCGGCTTCTTTCGCTCTCATAATGTGAATGAACCCTGGGAGAGGGAGAGAGCGCGCGAGCGCGCAGAGGGAGAGTGATCTGAGCGGGGGGAGAGGGGCAGAGAGCGGAGCGCAAACCCCGCGGGGGCCGAGGCGCGAGGGGCGGGGCCGAGAGGAGCCGGGTGCGGGCCCGGAGCGCGGCGGCGGCGGCGGGCGGAGGCGCGGGCCGAGCGGGGAGG